CGCCCCCGGCCCTAGAGGCCCCGCCCCCGAACTCAGAGGCCCCGCCCCCGGACCTAGAGGCTCCGCCCCCAAATCTAGAGGCCACGCCCCCGGTCCTAGAAGCTCCATCCCAGACCTCAGAGGCTTCAAAGGCTCCGCCCCCGAACTCAGACGCCCCGCCCCCGACACTAGAGACTCCGCCCCCAAACCTAGAGGCTCCATTCCCGACCTCAGAGGCTCCAGAGGCTCCGCCCCCAGACCTAGAGACTTCGCCCCCGGCCCCATAGGCCACGCCCCCTGCCCCAGAGGCCACGCCCCCGAACCTAGAGGCCCCGCCCCTGGTCCCAGAGGCCACGCCCCCCCGGTCCGTCTGCTCCTGCCCCTCCTGGTGCTCCAGGCCGTTGGGCAGCCCAGAGGCCCCGGGGTGGAGGTCCGGGTGGAGGTCTCTCGGGCCCCTGGTTCCATTCTGCTGAGTCATGTTCTCCCGCGGTCGCTCTGCAGGGGGTGCTCTCGCTCTCGCTGCCCATGCTCACCCCAAATCCTGCATCAGTCAAACAGACCTGCAAAAAAAAACACACAAAGCCCACAAAAGACCGTCAAATTCAGCCCAACTCAATTCCATCCATCCATCCATAATCCCAGTGCTTCTTGTAGTTTATTAGTTATTATAATTATTAAATATTATTTATTGATTTGATTTAATTTTGCAATGGTGCAATTGGTTGGTCAAACATGTTTACAGTTTAAACAAGGATTTATTTATTTTTTATTTCAGGCATTGATGCACTTAAAATCTTTTCTGTTGCAGACTTAAAACACGATTTAATAAAGTTATTCCTCGTAAGTTTGACCATATGTCTTTCTTTTTTTCTTTTTTTTAATGTTAAGAAGGATAAAATGTTGTGCAGAGAGTTTTCTTTTTGCTAGGGGGGCCGTAACAGAAAATAATTGAGAAGCACTGCATTATCCTAACCCCTCATTCCCTAATGGGGTCGGGGGGGCGGAGCCTATCCCAGTAGCCAATGGGGAGAGGCGGGGTCCCCCTGGACGGTCCCCAGTCCATCACAGGGACACACAGAGACACACAAGGACCAACAACCACACACACTCACACTGAGGGCAGTTTGGACTTCCTAACAGTCCATCCAGCATACAAAATATTCCAAAAATATTTGTTTAATTTTTCAGGAAAAAGCTAAAGACGCAGCAAAAAAAACTGTGAAGGTCCAAATTAAAAGGACACTATCACGAAAAGTCTCCTATTAGGTTTCTTACATTAGATATAAAGCGTAAAATGATTTTAAGAAGTAGATTAAAGCATATATTAAATCATATAATACAAAAGCATAGCTCTTACAGAGGATTAACTCCTATTCTGGACTTTCCTTAATGGCTACTTAGACTTAAATCAGAGGTCCCTTCCTCTAAAATTCAGTTTTACCTTCATAAACGTGTGTAAAAGGCCTTTTTCCCCTCATTAAAAGGCACATCACGTGGAAAAACAATCATCAAAGCTATGGCTAAGCAGAAATGCTTTGAATCTCCAGATAATCCTCTCCAGCCTCAGCAAACAAGCAGAGAAGGTGGAGAACACGTTTTTCCGATTCAGACATTTAAAGTTTGAACGTCAGTGAAGGTAAAACAGGACGGATAGCGTCAAAAGCAGGTGGATGGAGAAGAATTATAGAAAAAAAATGGTGGAAGTTAAACAGTGAGCTAATTTCAAACCAGGAGTTTTGTTTTTCCCTGCTGTTTTTTGGTGGTAAAAGCTTTTAAATGAACCCTGATGAGGATTTAAAGTGGTTAATGACTGCCAGAACAGGTCTGTGAAGACCCAACAGTCCATGAAACTAATTAAGAGAAGCACTGAGAGTACAAAAAAGACACTTTAAATACAGATTATAGAATACAAACACCTAGAAAAGCCCCGTTTGTGTAGTTTTAAACTACACAAATCTTTCTGACAGAAGTCTTCTCTGGAGGTTTGTATCTCCGACAATAAATGTTCCACTGGGTGTTATCTCACCTTTCACAGCCTCAGAAATGGAAGTTATGTCTATACGGGTTTCCCCCTTAAGAGCTTTGCGCAAAGCTGCAGAGCAGCTTTTATCGAGCTAATCAGAAAAAGTCCAGCCTTTAACGGAACAGACTGTTCTGACACGAGATTTCCAGTGAATTCAGCCTCATTAGGAAGCTTAGTTTTCCTGGAGTTACTCTTTTTTCTTTATTTATCAAAGGTGTTTCACAACCTGGTGGAGGGAGGACAGGCCTAAACATAACCTGAAATACTAAAAAAGTCGGAAAAATAGCAAGACGGTGCAAGAAAACCATAGAAACTCTTAATTTAGGAAACAAAAACGAGTGCATAGGGCTTATTTGATTGTTATAAAACTTCTAAACGAACACACAAACCTCTTTGCAGACTAAACTCTGAGAGCCTGCAGCAGGTCATGTGCATTTCCTGTGCACGCCCATCTCATTTCTGCCATTAAAATCAGACAAAACAGGACCTAAAACACTTTCCCACCGAACAAAGACAAAGTCTGATTAATCTGAGGGCAGATAAGCCGGTGGGGAATCCAGCAGAGGAGCAACAGCAGGCTGTGAAAAGCAGAGGAAGAAAGGCCCTCTGTGCCAGACTCCAAACTATTTCCACATTTAAACTCTACAAACACACAACTCCTGCCTCCTCTGTGGCCCGAAACTCTGAATCCAGACGCCTAAACACAATTTACGAGTTCTGAATCACTTTTCTTTCAACATAAAGATCTTAGTAGGTGGGCAGATCAATCCAAATATCAATAATTTTTATACCAAATCACTATCGGATGGCAGCCTAGTGAGATCCAATTATTCATTTTAAGCTACGCTCAGGTTGTTTTTTCATTCATTTTTTTGTTTTAAATTGTTTACTGGTTTTAGAAGCACTTTTAATTTAGGATTTTTCTTAAATAAATTTGAGAATAAAGCATTTTCTATTTGATTTTAAACTTTGTCTTTGTTTAAACGACCTAATTCTGTCCTGAGTTTTAACTATTTAATGATAAAACAGGACACAGCACATAAAAACACTTTAGGTCATGAAAATAAATTGATATTTAGCAGTTCAATAAGCGTCTTATCTATTGAAAAGTGTCAGTACCGGCCTGTATCTGTTCAAAACATGCAGTATTGCACACCAATGGTGTTTTGAATCGATTAATATTGAGTCAAACTTAAAATAACAACAGAAAAATGTCTGTAAACTCTCTTTATGTTTGACATTCCCAAAAACTAAAGAGAAAACATTAACGCTAGCAAACAGTTGTGACTGACTGATTTTTCACACAGAGTGCTTCCTGTTTGAGCCACTTTCTGGAAATAGCGACAAACACAAAGGAGATCTATTTAAAGACCTTTGAATAAGTAGATAATAGTATTAAAATGATCTTTTCTCCCTCTAAATTCTGCACAAGAGCTCCCATATTGAGCACAATTACCCCAAATCTGAGTCTGTGCTGCTAACCATCTATCTTTTTTTGGCACGAGGACAAAAATAAATGAATAAATAAACTAATTTCTCAACAGGATTTCACGCTTTAAATCCAGAAACAAGTTTTAAACTTCTCCTCAGTCCCTCTTAAAGGATCTCGAGCCGATTGCTTTTGTAAATGTGTGTTTTTGTTCTCCATTTACAGCTTTTCAGAACTCATGGGTGCCACAAAGATTTGTTTTTAGCACAAAGCTGCCACATTTAAGGTGGTATTAGCCTTGTTTCTGGCTTTTTCTCTTTTCCATAAAGGAGAGTGTCATCCTTTGTTTCAAACCTGGTTAAAGATTACCGGGAGGCCGTTTTTCCTCAGGGTTATCTCACCTGTTGCCACCTGTTCCAGCTCATTTGTTTCCCAACTTAACCAATCTTTAGTTGGCTTTATGCACAAACAAATACATATAAAACTATTTTAAATTCAAATACAGCAGGTTAAACATGTGCATTTCACTCTGGAAGCCGTTCAGAGTCTGTAAACCGACATCTGTGTTATTCATTTGGAAAATGGGTGAATGGGCCTGAGAAAAACTCAACAGACCTCCAGCTGAAAGCACTCACCAGTTTATTTATCCAAAAATATGTGTAGTTGATGACTATTAATAGATCTGATCAACTGAAATTGAAATATAATAATAATTTAATAATATAACTGAAATATACAACATTTTATCTCTTTAAAAAACACAAATATTAACATTCAGTAAAGACATGGGTGTCATTTCTAACTTGTGGAGGGAGATTTCCACAAATAAATTATGTTTTATTTCTAATTAGATGCTGGAATATTGTTCCAGGAGTGAAAAAGCCTTTAAAAGGATAAAAACAAAGCCCTGGACCACATATCCGGGCTGGTTTCTGTCCAGGAAGCGTCTCGTTACGAGTACTGGCTCTCTGTTTTCCTCACAGACACCACTAAATAATCCCTAAATCAATGAGCTCCGTCTTTATTTATTTCCAGGTGCTGCTCTTCCTCTGGGACAGCCCGTGGACGGATGCTTCCCATAAACTCCCAAAAAGACGCACCGTGGATCTGGATCCGGAATATTTTCCTCCGTCCACATTTAATCTGCTTTACAGGACATTTCTACCCGCCTGCACGTGGCAATCCGTCATCATTTGAGCGTTTTTACGTAACGACAGCGAGTAAAAGCCCTCACAATAACCCGGAATTTAGCGCCCCAAACCTCATTTTTGCGCTCAAGTTGGATTAGACGCTCTTGGTTTATTATCGTCACTTTGCGTAAAAACGCATTTCCTTCCTCCGGTCATCGGTGTGTGTCTCTCCGTTATATCCGGGCTGGGGGATGGATCTCCAGCCCCCGGGAGGTTTCTTCCTGGATCGTTTCCCCCCGTTACTCGCCTGTTTTGCGCGGGTCTCGGTGCTCGATGTGCGGCCGACCGAGAGCAGCCTTCCGCCGGGTAAATCCTCCCGGAGACCCCGGCGTCCACCGTGGGCGGAGACAGTGTGTGTGTGTGTGTGTGTGTGTGTGTGTGTGTGTGTGTGTGTGTGTGTGTGTGTGTGTGTGTGTGTGTGTGTGTGTGTGTGTGTGTGTGTGTTGATGTGCCACCGCCCCACCCCACCGTGGGGCCTGAACACTATGTACGGAAGGAGGTAGATCGGCTTACAGCCCCCAGAAAAAACTGCGCTCCAGTGTTAGGAAAACCTGCAAATATGGATGAAAAATGCGTTATAAAAGGTGTCTAAAAAGCCCGGATGTTATAGTTCTGGTGAGCTCAAAGTGGATCTCTGCTCTGAGCTCCTTCCTCCTCCATCTCTGTGAGGAACCTCCAGGAAAAGCTCTCCAGTGTTAGGAAAACCTGCAAATACAGATGAAAAATGCTATAATGTTATAGTTCTGATGAGCTCAAAGTGGATCTCTGCTCCTAGCTCCTTCTTCCTCCATCTCTGAGCTCATTTCTCCTCCATCTCTGAGCTCCTTCCTCCATTT